CGCATGCAGCTTAGAAGGAATATTGCATCGAGTTGATTCCGACTTATGGCAACCTTTTCTAGAGCTTTCCAGGTACAGAATCCTCAGAAATAGTTTACCGTTCCCTTCTTGTGGGGGGTGCCCTAGGACTGTGCAGCTTGCCCAAGGCCACCCAGGCTGGCTTTTCTTCCTGGAGGAACACGGGGGAGAATTCAAATTCCCAACCTCTGGCTCCACAGCTAGATACCTATACCACTGAGCTATCCAGCCAGCATAAGTGCATGTTAAATCATTCTAAATGCTTTTTGAACAAATAAGAGCACAATGCAATGGAAAGCCTTCTGGGTAGAAAAAACAAGACCAATTCAGTGGCTTAAATCTTTTTCTTTTTTTACGGTAAGTGCTGGAGCACAGACTCTGATTTACGTGGAGTGCCTATGATTATTCAGTAGTAAGAGAAAGGTATTCCTGATTCAGTGCCCTGGAACAGTCACTGAAAGAGGTTTTGTGACCAAGCCTCAAGGAACTACAAGGGTTTCTGAGTGTGAAAACACAGCATGGAACATTAAAAACTTTCTTGTACCAAGTCAGACAGTTGGGTTCTGCATCCCAATATCATCTGCTCCTGGGCTTTGGGGTAGGATTTTCTCCTGGCCCTTCCTGAAGATCCCGAGTATTGCCTGCTTGACTCTCATCCATGTCATAACCAGGCCACTTCTGTTTTCTTCACCTCTCATTTATGCCTGGATAGGTTTTGTCAGACTAAGGGAAGCTGAGGAAACGACTTTTCACTTTTCATGCTGCTTGGTCAAGAGTAATAAAAATCCCCAGTCAGTAACTTTCGGAGTCTTCACCTACTCCAACAGAACAATTTTCTTTGAAGCAGAGAGCATCCGAGAGTACGATTATCATCTTCTTTACTTCGGTTTGTCCAATAAAAAGGTTTGCTAGCAGAAAAGACCAAAGTCTGATGATTCATCATCCTGAACTGGAGAGATGTATGAGTGTCTGAAGGACAGGGAAAAACAATTATGATGATGCATGCATGTGGGTGCAACCCTTGGCTTTCTGATAGAATCAGGACCTTTACAACACAAATACAGCCTTTGTTTCCATACCAAGGAGAAAATGTTCAAAGAGTGCTTTCAGATGCTACTGGTTATACTGGATTTACAAGTGAAAAAATGTCACAGGAAATACCCTCCAGCCCAACAGAAGGACGTCCTTCAGGGAAGACATTTAGGTGCCCTGCAAAGAGTATGAACATAAATACTGTCTCCAGAGCCTCTTTCAACATAGTATGGAAGGCTATGATCCCTTGTGAGCTAGATAGCTGGATGGATAGATGATGGCAGTACTACACACTGGTGATGCTTAGCATCTTAAGAACCAACAGGCTGATTGTGACACAAGGTTTCATGGAGTCAAGTCCACTTTGTCAGATGTGAGAAATGTTAACTTCTGACTGCATGTGTAAGCATACTTACATACCCATTCATACTTACATACCCATTCTTACATAGGAATTTACCCTGCATTTTGTTTTCTAGCAACTAATAAGAAACAGAACCTGTAAAGCTGTAAGATTCCGAAACAAATAAATATACAGCCAGAGGGAACTATGTACTGTATTGTTTTGTGTCGGTCATGCAGCCTGTACATTTTGTGACTGAAAATTTCTTAACTGGAGGACTCCTGAGGCTACTGTTCTAAACAGTTAAGGAGTCACATGCCAAACCTGCCTATTCGCATTGATCCATACAGCAATGACGACAGAGTTATATGCTGTGATAAGCTTATCAAGGGCCAGGTTGCCATGCAAACCAAACACTGGCAGACTGTTTTCAAAATGACCTTTTGAAGACAAACAGAATAAGCAGCAATGCCCACACGGAAATGCCTCCTTGTTTGTAATGTGAACAACATGTGAGAAACTGGCCATGGATCTGATCTCTTGATTGCTTGGAAACCAGTGACAGAGTGATAAACAGATGTTCACATACATCAGCTTGCAGTCGTACTAAAGCACTGCTAAACCTATTGAAAACCTTGGCCCTCTCTACCTGGAATCCGAGTTTGACTGCAAGCAAGGGGAAGAACTCGACAGCTGACTTCCTGATTGAAATTCCTGAAAGCTACACCACTTCAAGAAGGATGCAAAAGGGCACATTGTTGAGAATCCAGAATTTTCAACCAACTGGAAGCACCCTGGGACTTGACGCTTCTTCCAGAATGCTGTAAATTCCTGACAGTGTTAAATCTTACTGACGTTTGATGATGTGCTGGTCTCTGCCTGAATTACTGGAACTGCAAGCTTAAAAATGAGACATTTCCAAGCAATGGATGATAGTAACTTGCACAGAAAACAGGTAGCACAATTATATTTTGCTGATAGTCACAAAGATCAAATACAGTTCAAGCATCTTTAATTGAGCACTTTTTACTCTGTGGGTTAGCAGCAAGAGGCATCCTTCTCTCAGTGGGGAAGAACTGCCAGTAGGTGCACCACCTTCCCCATGAGTGGTAAACTAATAGGAACAAGTACTACAAGAAAAAGTTTACACTGTGCTGGAAAAGTCCACGATTCTTGTAAAGTTTTTATATACACACAGAATCCTGTGAATAGGAATGTCAGAAACACAACACAGAAAAGAGTCAAATTTGGATTTACAACTAAAGGGCTGGCCACCTGATTACACAAATACCCTTTTTTCACTTATAAGTTTTCACAAACACCCTGCATCTGCATTTGGCATTGGTTGCAACCATCTCAGCCAGTATAAAATCAGAACTTCATACATTTTTGCATACACTTGCATCTGTATTTGGCTCACTTTAATCCAGGCTGCTGAAGACTAGGCGTAAACACAAGCCCAGAGATAAACAAAGGGAACACAGGAGAATCTGCACACAAGACTGGTGCAAAAATTCCACAAGCCCATTTGTGATCCTTAGCAATGTGTCCCAACTACCTCCAAGAGGCCGTAAAGGAGAGAAAGGGAAAAACTCTGCCGTTTGAAAGTGATGCCTGACACCCATTTATGCTCCTAAAGAGGCAAGGAAAAGTCCAACATGACAGCACATTCTGGTGCTTAGTTAAAAGGGAACAAGTTTTCACAGGTTTCCAGTTCAGCTATAGTGGCCATGGGATCAAGCTGCATACCCTACTACTGCCAGTATTCCCCTTTTCTAGCTTATGAGTAACTACGGTTATTGAGAGAGAGAAAAATGCAAGCATTTGGCTTACATTAGAGGCAATTCCTCTACTGGAACACGTCTGCGATCTGCAACCATCACAGGCCGAGCACATTGAACCTCAGCCAGTGAAGGCGGGGGGGGGGGGGGNAGCAGCCCCACATCAGGTTAGTGGCAGCCAAAGCAGCCCTATGCTAGCAAACAGAACTCCACTTTTGCATTCAAGGTCAACAAGGAGAAGTATTAAGGCAGTGCTTGCAAGCAAACACTCAACCAATCTAGTTAGGGGCGAGATTAATTCTTTCCTCTTCCTAAGCTTTCACAGGGTTCACATTCCTGAGATAAGCTGCTTTCACCCAAAGGGCAGTCAAACTGTGGAAGCAAAAACTGTGTGGAAAGCAAAAAAGAAAAATGAAATCACCCCCCCCCCCAGCAAAAGTCAGGAGAGGCCTAAAGAACTGGGAAAGAACTCAAACCTTAAATTAAAGGGTCTTCGGAATTGGAAAAACTCTGACCTTTGTTTACTACAAAAAGAAACTTTCTTCCAGGAAGATTCAGCAAAAGGAAAAACACTTTAAACTATATTTAAACAAAGTTTGCCATATTTCTGCATGCTGATATTAAGGGCGAAAAGTTTAACTTTCTGTGGGTCTCAATCCTGTCCCCTAAACAATTAGGTTCTGATCCTTCCTTGAGGCGTCCGAGTTTGGCTTCTACTAGCAGCGTAAGAGACTTCCAAAAGTCTCCTGCCTTGACTACAAAACAGGGCAATTCATAAGCAAGTCCAGAATTGTTTTTGAACTTGTGTTGGCACACTGCTAGGCAATAATCAATTTGCACAAAGCTGGCAATGAAAGTAACGTTTGATTAGCGGTTACTGATAGATGGGGCAGTCCCTATTTTACAGTAAGAGCAAACAAACCTAGAGATTAAACAGTTGGGGGGAAAAACACAAGAGAATAGGATACTTTCTGTAGAATCCAGCTTAGAATGGTAGCAGTTTCAATTTCTGCTGCAGCATTTTGGTCTGCAAATGAGTTTAAAGATAAACAAAAAATATATAAATTGCACACCACATACATCATCGCCATAACTGGATGGGTGACTTTCGAAATGGATTGTCAAGGAACCTGTTTTGTGGACATACTATTCCAAGGGTCAAAGAAGAAGGAAAAACAAAGCTTTGTGTTCTTATGTGTTCCTACTTATGGCCACCAGTTAGTGATCACCAAAGGTAAGGTCCAGTCATTAGTAACTCTGCTCATCTCCTGTGCACTTCTCTTATGGAGTCAATCCACTTCATGTTCTGTCTTCCTCTTTTCCAAAAGTCAGTTACATTATCTTAGTCCAAAGTTCCTCACTAGATATTAAATACACACACTCCTTAATAGTGGTGCAATAAAGTAAGTGTGGGGGGGAGGAGAGCAAGGTGTTCTAGTACTTAGAACTGCTAGAAAGTTCAGTGGTTTAGGAATTAAAGCTAAAGGCTGGGAGTTTGTTCCCCAATGGGCCTCCTTGACAGGGGCTGGACTTGATGATCTATAGAGTCCCTTCCAGCTCTACAGTTCTAAGATTATTATTATTGTTTTAGAACACTCGAAGAATTCATGGAGGACCATATGCAGGAAGACATCAGGAGCTACTGCTCTATATTGCTAGCTTGTCCCGTTCACTTTCATCCACAGATGAACACAGACACTAGCTGGGGGGTTACCTTAGCACAAGAAAAAAGGAAATCTCAGCCATACAGTGAAGAGCTCAATACAATGAGGGCCAAACAGGGAAGGGAGAGAAGGAAGAGTACTGAAAAAAATCCAACTTCTTACCTAGTAGACAAGGTGGCAAAATCCCCTCCATCCAGCAGCCTGATTTTGCAGAACAGGACCCCGTTGACAAAAGGGACCGCTGTCAGCTCCTCTAAAGTGAAACTGGTCTGGAATTTGAACTTCTTTTTCTTCATCAAAAAAGCCATGGGCAAGTTCAAATAAGACCAAACAAACAAACAAACAAAGGCTAGAAACTGCCCAATTAAAAAAAAAAGGAAACAACCCAAATAAATCAGAAAGAGCAGCAGCTGCAACTAGAAACAATAAAGTTTCAAAAATGTGAAACACAAACAAACAAAAAATAAAATTTAGAAATATTCCCCAGTCAATCCAAGGTACAAAAAATAGAGGGTATGAGTTTGAGTTCAGATGCAAGGGCAGTGTAGCTTTAAATTAAAAATCCTCCTCTCTCTTTGGTGGTCAGATCTGGCTATCGTATCATTGCCAAGGCAGATTCCAGGTAAGGAGAGCAGCAGGTTAAGTCTCTGGTTCATCTCCAAGGGGGCGAAGAGGAAGGGGAGAAAACTCTAAGCTCCAGACCAGCAGGAGCTTTCTTGATCCGAGGATCTGGCGAGCGGTTCCTCTTTGCCGGGCAGGGGCTCTTTAAAGCATTGCTGGATTTGCTCGGAGTTGGTGTACAGCACAGCCAGGGCTCCTTTGCGGCTCCAGACTCCTCCCCCTGGGCAAACCCTTCACGTGGATAAGTGCTTCTGCTGCATACGTTCTGGCTCCTACAGGTTTCTTGTCAGCCTAAAGAAGGCAGAGAGGTAATTAATCTCGGCCAACATCAGCCCCTCCCTCCGTTACCACGCCCTGTCCAACCTAATTATAGTTAGATAAAATATTCAAGTGTTATCCTCCTATTAAAGGGCAAGAAGGAACTCAGGCTGCTTTCTTCACACGGAAAAGACTGCCTTTCTCTGCACCTAGCAACGGCCGCCACCATCACCACCACCCACCTGCCTGCGTGTTTTTCCATCCCAATCATGAGACACTTCAACAAGCTGTCTCACAAAACAAGGGACTGTTGCACACATACTTTTATACATGCATATGCTCCCAACTCTCACTCGTCCAGTGAGGAAGAATATTCAAGAGAGATAAACAACCTACAGATGGCAGGTAAATACCAAGAAAACCCACTTTCTTGCCTCACCCCCTGCTTTTCAGCCCACTTTGTTAAGCACCCAGTCTCTCCACAGCAAAAAAAGAAGAAAACGGTAAACAGACTCAGTGTTAAAACTTGCCTAGCTTCTCCTGAGCCTCAAACCCACTTTAAGTGGATCAGCCTTGAATTCAACCCAGATAGTCAGCTTCTGAAAGAAGGCAAATGTGATAACTAACTATAAGCACAGAGTTACAAAAACAAACTCCAGTCAGGAGTTATTGATTGTAAAATGACTGTTGATGTTGATCCTGCTAGAGAAGAAATTTATCTTGCAAAATGGCTTTCAAGAACCTAACTTACTCTGTTGATCTAGATTTTTTCCCCCCTAAAGTCTTCCTCTTATCCCCTCCTTCTGTGCCTGAGGGATGCTTCTAACATTCAGTGTCACAAGTCAGGCTGACCCTGGTTGGCGACAGATTCTGCGCCTGCTGCGTTCAGCTTGGTTTCAAATAAACAGCTGACTGAAGTGACCCAAGACTTTCCTGGGACACCACTTCGGCTGCAACCCACTTGGCTTCGACCCTGTTCTGTGGAGGTAGGCTACTTTATTCTTCCTCTATTAGTCTGTCCTTGAACCCTCCACCCTCAAACACACACAGGGCACAAATGAGGAGCCCTAAGCATTTGAAGAAGTGGCACAAAAGCAGGCACTGCGAAAGTAGACACAGACACAGACACACACACACACAAACTTGTTAAATCTTTCAGGTCCCACAAGACCCTTTCCTCCCCACAGTGCAACTAAAAAGTTCTGCAACATGTCTTCCACTCCTCCCCCAATGCAACCCTAGAGAACAAATGAGATTCAATCTGCTCACCAGACTTATCTCAACTGAATTCATAACCAAACTCCCCTGAAAGTACTGTAACTTCATCTGCTATAATGTTTGCCTGGCGACATGACATGATCAACCCTCTGTAACAACAGTCACCTTCCTCCTTATTCCACGCCTGATTTCTCAGAGCCTACACACGCTCACTTCTAGGGGCACCAGGTTTCCTACAGACACAGGGGATGGGAACTCAAGGGTACCGTCAGCACCAAGGCGAAGTTGCTTCTCATCAGTTGCTGAGGAACTCCTGACAATGGGGGCAGTGAACTCGCATCTGACTGGCAGGCTTCCCAGAGGCATCTCTCGATGGCCACTGTCTGAACAGAATGCTAGACAAGACGACATGGCCCTTTGGTCTGATCTGGCTTCAGGGCCCTCCTTATGCTCTCAGCAGTGCAATGCAGTAACAGGCACTTTAAAATGAAGGGGTGGGGGCATGACCAGATCCTAGTGGTTTATATGTGGAAGGTCCTCCTAAAAGGGATACGCTGTCCAGTTTAAAAGCAAAGATCAAGACAAGTTCATTTAATTTTCATAGCCCATTGAGCAAATAATAAAGCACTCTGTGGACCTGAAAAACATTGTTGCAGTCTCAAGCAGTGAGCAAACACTGAACACAGACGTGTTGTGCCTTTATCATAAAAACTCATCTCAAGCATACAGTTGGGTTCACTATATTTAAAACAAAGTAGTGGACTGAGTGGATTGGTGGGCCATGGGGATTCTAGTGGATGAAACAAGAAGCCCATATAAAACTGAGCCTGGCTCATGCTTTTTATCTCCCTCTGCTTGGACACTCCGAAAAGAAGGTAAATACTGTACTGACTTCTAAATCTTGAACTGGAAGCAACAAATGAGGGTTTTAAGAAAGACAGATTGTGGATCAGGAATGGCCTTGCAGCACAATCCGTTAAATGCCTATTTGGATGCAAGTCTCACTCTCTTCCATAGGCTTGCTCCTAGGTAAGCATGTATAGGACCACTGCTTTACATTTCAAATCCTGAACACCCAAGTGGAGAAACGCCCCTCCAGGATTTATTTACAAACATGAGCAAACACAGTTCGCCTGTTACAGCAAAACAAAACAAAAAAACAATTCTGCCAGGCCTTCAAGACATTCATACAAGCCTAAATCCTTACGGAACAATCAGATCAGCACGCTACACCTTTGCGCCCCACTGATTTCTATGGGGGGACAACATTTTAACACACGCCTATTACTGTTACTTAAAAGGCAACACTGTGCCTGTACCACGTCCATACACACACATCCTGCGCTGTAGAGTGTAAAGATACACACCACACAACATGTGTGCATATGGATGTCTCAGCACATTTCCTTACCTATGTAGACACCTGCACATATAAGATATGGGACATTCTGTGTGTGTGTGTGTGTGTGTGTGTGTGAAGCAAGAGTGAGATGTAAATATACAACGGTTTTAAGACACCAGAGTGTGGGTCAATGCACATGGAAAGTGTGTGGTGAGATATTTATATACATACATAAATCTACATTCATCTTACAAACAGATGTTGCTCATACAGCACCCATAAACACCTACAGCCCCACAGGCACCTCAGGGGCAAAGACACACACTCCTAGGTCCAGATGCACACACCCTGCACATCTGTGCATGCCTAGAGACGTGTGCATTTCCCTATGCACCCATATGTCACCCTCCCTGGGGGGGGGGAGAGATCCCCACAAGCACCCCATGGGCTGAGCCCACTTGCAAAGACCCAGCCAGGAATGAAGGAGAGGGCTGGTTCAGCCAAACCTTAGGTAACCCCCCCCTTCGACCTACAGGCACAACTACGAACGCAACATATTTTTACAAGATGAATGTAGATTTATGTATGTATGTATATATAAAATATATGTGTTAACTTGACCCCCCCCAACACAGACAACACTTCAGAGCTTAAAGGCAGAATCCTCTTCCCACCCCCCTACCCCACGTTTTTAAAAGGCAGACTTTTAGGCGACTCCTGCCTGGGTAGGGGGGCGACGGCCTCTT